AACTCCTTGCTATTGTAAACAAAGCCCCGATAAAGATGGGTGTGCATCTCTCTGCTTGGATGTCAGTGCATGGTCTTTCTTAATGGTACTTTGAGTGGGGCTGAGTGTAGGAGGTGGGCTGTGAGGCACAGCCATTGGTGCTGTTTGCCCCGCCTATCTTGTGACCACGCCCACCCGATGACCACGCCCACTCCGTCTCTCCAGGCCGACTTCGCCCTGGAGGCCCTGGCCAAGGCCACCTACGAGCGCCTCTTCCGCTGGCTGGTGCTGCGCCTCAACCGAGCTCTGGACCGCAGCCCCCGCCAGGGCGCCTCCTTCCTGGGCATCCTGGACATCGCGGGCTTCGAGATCTTCCAGGTCTGTGCCCACCTAGATTGGGGTGGGGACTCAACAGCCTTGGGATTCTTCTCATCTCGGGGTGCCCCATTCTGTGAAATCTTCCTATTTTCTTTTTGCATGCTTCTGCTCCCCAACTCAGCTCACCCTCGGTCTCTGTCCCTTCCCCTCTGAGTCTCTGCCCCTCCTCGGTCTCTGTCCTCTCTCTGGGTCTCTGCTCCCTCACTCTCTGAATCTCTGTCACCCTCTCTCTCTGGTGCTCTGCACCTTCATGGTTCTCTGTTCCGCTCTTCCTGGGCCTCTCTTCCCCTCTCTCCCTCTGTCCTCCCCTCTCTGTGAGTGTCGGTCTCCCTCTCTCTCTCTCTCTCTGTCTCTCTATTCTTCCTTCTCTGACTCTATGTCCCTTCCTCTCTCTCTGAGACTCTGTCCCCTGGTTCCCGTCTCTCTCCCAGCCCCTCTTGTCGCTGTCCCACTCATGTGCCCCTCTGCCCCGCTCACGTGCCCCTCTGCCCCCCACAGCTGAACTCCTTCGAGCAGCTCTGCATCAACTACACCAACGAGAAGCTGCAGCAGCTCTTCAACCACACCATGTTCGTGCTGGAACAGGAGGAGTACCAGCGCGAGGGCATCCCCTGGACCTTCCTCGACTTCGGCCTGGACCTGCAGCCCTGCATCGACCTCATCGAACGCCCGGTGAGCTCGGCTCCTCGCGCCTGGAGCCTCCCCTTGAATGACAGTGCTGGCTCTTTAAATCTGGGAGAAGTCCTCGCCGACCGAGCTGCAGAAAGTGCACGTCCAGGGTCTGCTGGGCTCAGGACCAGCCACTGGCCCGTGCTGTTTTATGCCATCAAGGCTGTTCCAGCTTGTAGTGGGACGCAGGAGACGGTGTGGCCTGCTGGGTTGTAGGCAGTGGACGTGGGGTGTTCTAAGCTGTCTCCTTCACAGGCCTCCTGCACAGGCGCTGGATGAGGTCAGAGCTTCAGTTAGCATCCAAGTGCTTCGTATCAGGACTCCCAGAGCGAGAGAGACAGAAACAGGAGAGAGAGAGAGAGACAGAAACAGAAGAGAGAGACAGAAACAGAAGAGAGAGAGAGACAGAAACAGAGAGAGAGAGACAGAAACAGAAGAGAGAGAGACAGAAACAGAGAGGGACAGAGAGAGAGAGAGAAACAGAAGAGAGAGAGACAGAAACAGAGAGAGAGAGACAGAAACAGAAGAGAGAGAGACAGAAACAGAAGAGAGAGAGACAGAAACAGAGAGGGATAGAGAGAGAGAGTGTGTCTATGTGCAAAGGAGTCTACATGGTATAATATTTTAATACATAGAAGATGGAGAGTTCACATCCAGCTGCTCCGTAGAGATAGATGGACTTTCTCCTTCTAGCAAGATTTACAACCTTGAGTCCCATAAAGGACAATCTTGAGGCAAAGTTGACCCATATCAGTGTGTTTAGGTTTTGAGTGTGTGTATGTGTGTATATACAGACCACATACACATACATTCTTTTTGTTGTTGTTGTTGTGTACCTTCGAGTGAGATCTGACTCATTGCCCCTCCTTCTCCAGCAGAATGTCTGGTGGATTCGAACTGCTCACTTTCGGGATTGCAGCTCAGCTTCTTGCCACTAGGCCACCAGAGCCCCAAATATATTCTTTTCCCCCCTTTATGTTGTGTAATCGGGATGGGTATATCAGAGACAGTGACGTTGGCTCAAGTCAGAGCAGCGTTTAGGGCTGTTGTACATAGGGTCGCTGTGAGTCACAAGTGACTCGACGGCACATAATAACAACAACAACATGTTGTGTACTGTCAAATTGGATCTGACAGGCACAGGAAGAGATTGTCCCCTCCTTCTCCAGCAGAGCATCTGGTGGATTCAAACCATGGGCCTTCAGGATTGCAGTCCAACGTCTTGCCACTCGGCCACCAGAGCGCCCTTACATATACGTACATTCTTATTGTTACTATGTACCATTGAGTCGGAACCAACCCATCGCTTTCCCTCCAGTGGGTTTTCAGAGGCAGCCAGTCATGTAGGAGGAGATTGCCCATCTTTCCCTCACGGAGCAGCTGGTGGACTTGAACCACTTGCCTTTGCATTGGCAGCGCCATTCCTTTCCACTAAGCCACCAGAGCTCCTTTATATACTGTTACATATAAGCTCCCTCATATACTTACGAGTCTCTGAAATCCTCTTCCATCGAGTGGATTCTGACTCTAGCAGCCCCGTGTGACAGGGTGGTTCCGGAGTTTCCTGGGCTGCGGACATCGTGGGAGCCGGTTGTCAGGTTTTTCCACCTTGGAAATGATGGGTTTGGACCACGCTCACCCCCACAACCTTTTAGAGCGCAGCTGAGTTTGCTTATCTGTTCTCAGTGGCGCTGACTGGCCTCGTTTTTACGCTTAGGTTTTCCCTTAAGTGTTGTCTGTAAGCAGCAGACCTTAGCAGGAAAGAAGCTCTGGTAAGACAGCAGTTAAGTGCTTGACTAGGAATGTGAAGGTTGTTAGTTCAAGCCCAGGCAGAGGTCACACGAAAGAAAAGCCTGGCTATCTGTTCCTATAACGACTGTCGCCTAGGAAACCCAATGGGTCAGTTCTGCACCATCTCCTGGGGGTGCTGTACGTGAGAATCGACTTGACAGACATCACCCAGCTATGAAAGCTACTGTATTTGAGAATCTGGCTTCTTTCTCCTTCCTGTCCATGGTCAGGCCAACCCCCCCGGACTCCTGGCGCTGCTCGACGAGGAATGCTGGTTCCCAAAGGCAACTGACAAGTCCTTTGTGGAGAAGGTGGCCCAGGAGCAAGGTGGCCACCCCAAGTTCCAGCGGCCGAGGCAACTGCGGGACCAGGCTGACTTTAGCGTCCTCCACTATGCGGGCAAGGTAGGGACGTGGGGCCGGCGTCCTCGGGGCGTACGAGGGAGTGGGAGGCTCAGGGGGCCTGTGAGGAGGGCTCGGAGTCAAATCCAGACCACCTGATACCCAATGGCTGCAGACACTGTCGGGTCAGGAGTTCCCAAAGAAGAGTGAGGATTGTATTTGATGAAGTCAGCAAAGGGTTCCTTCAGGAGGGGTTATATGCACTGAGTTTTGAAGGATGCCTAGGAGTTCACCAGTAGCAGCAGTGGCTGTTTTTGATGCATTCATTTGGTCACTGTGTGCAAATACCTCTTGTGTTTCGAGCCCTGTGCTGAGCAAACCTGGGGGCATGATCAGATGTGATTTCTACTCTCATAAAGTTCTTTATTGGAGGGGAGGCAAAAACGGACGGTTAGAATATAAAGCTGATTGGGGTGTCAAAGAGGGCAGCTAATAGCAGTGTCAGCCTGGAGGAGAAATGCCAGGGAAGGTTTCACAGAGGAAAGCAAATCAGAGGCTGGCAAATGAGTTCTCTGCTGGGCCGGGTGGTAGATGTGTGATGTACATTCATGGGCCAGGCTGTATTGCAGTAAAGTATTATTTATAGAAATAAGTCGCTGGCTGGTTTGGCTACGGGCCATAGTTTCTTTAATGTAAATGGGCAGTAACAGTAGTTTATGAGGACCCCGCCTAGCCTCAGTGTGACCCCCTGTATTGAGAGGGGATCAGACCCGGAGGGAGCAGAGATGAAGATTAAAATGTACAGAAAGAGGGGAGCTCTGGTGGCCTAGTGGTCAGGAGCTGCAACTACAATCCCAGAGTTGCACGGTTCGAATCCACCAGATACTCTGCCAGGGAAGGAGGGACAATCTCCTCCTGTACCAGTCAGATCTGATTTGACAGTACACACACACAAAAATAATAATAAAAAAAATTTTAAAAATGTACAGAAAGAGAAGCTCTGGTGGCCTAGTGGCAAGAAGCTGCACTGCAATCCCAGAGGTACATGGTTCGAATCCACCAGATGCCCTGCCGGGGAAGAAGGGGCAATCTTGTCCTGTACCAGTCAGATCTGATTTGACAGTACACACACAAACAATAAAATTTAAAAAAACAAACAAACAAACCCAAGTTGGTTTTTTTTTTTAAAAAAAAAGTACAGAAAGAGCAGGGATAAAAAAACCTCAAAGTGACTGAGAAGGATGGGTTCGATAATGTATATTGCATTGAAACAGATGAGGGAGAAAGCTGTTTAAAAGGGATATGGGATTAGGTATTATTGTCATGACAGGAGTCCTGAGCGAAGGCTGCATAGTGGAGTGGACCTGAGGGGAGGGATTGTAAAGCAGTGAAAGACTTTTTCTTTCACTTTTCCAAGAGGGTAGTGTATTGGGGGTGGGGGAGAGGTTTGGGAGGGGAGAAAAGTGCAACAAGGAATGAATGGGGGGGGGGAACAAGAAAAAACCAAAAACACCTCAAAGTGTGGGAATGGGCATGCTGGTGTGAAGGACAGTGAGAAGGCCAGTGTGGCCGGGACAGAGGAATAAGGAACAAAGTGGGGGCAGATAAAGCCACCCAGGGATCAATGTCCGTGGCTCTTGGCGAGTGCAGTTTGAGATCTGGACACGAGGTGGTGCCAGAGTGCTGCCCTTGGCGAGCTCGGGACTCTGGCTCCTGGAAATACTCACCAGGCTTCCCTCCCCCGTCTTGATCCAGGTCGACTACAAGGCCAATGAATGGCTGATGAAAAACATGGACCCTCTGAATGACAACGTGGCGGCCCTGCTTCACCAAAGCACAGACCGGCTGACGGCCGAGATCTGGAAAGATGGTGAGTCCCCAGCCTTTCAGGATTCTGTCCCCTGGGTCTCCCCAGTCCTTCTCCCCACCGGCCGAGTGGCCTGTGTGTTCCAGGGGCCGAGCCCTGAACCTGAGCTCTTGGGACGCTGTCAGTGCTTCAGCTCAGTGAAGCACATGTGTACTCTGGTGGTGTCATGTGTAATGAGCGTGTGATGTGTCGGGCTGTTGATCACAAGGTTGGCGGTTCTAATCCACCAGCTGCTCCAGGGGAGAAAGATGAGCTGTGTCCCCCTGTAAAGAAACCCTATGAAAGGCCAGCTATGAATCAATCCTGACCTGGTGGAATCTTAATATTTTATATGTGTACACACACACACACACACACACACACCCCTCTGGTGGCTAGTGGTAAGAAGCTATATTACCATCCCAAAGGTGCTCAGTTTGAATCCACCAGCTGCTTCACAGGAGAAAGATGGGCAGTCTCCTCCCATGAGATTTACTGCCTCTGAAAACCCGCTGGAGGGTCGGCTATACATCAGTTCTGACTAGATGGTACAAGAAAAATAACAACAACAACCTATGCATATACATGCATCTGTGGACCATATCACCAGCGTTCCATTTTCGTGTTTAGTTTGATATTGGTCTTTTTCAAGTCTAATGTATTTTTTAAGTGTTTTGTTTTAACCATTGTAATAAATTGATTCCTTCCCTTTTTTTAAAAAAAAAATTTTATTATTTTTGTGTGAGTGTACCATCAAACCAGATCTGACTGGTACAGGAGGAGATTGTCCCTCCTTCCCCGGCAGAGCATCTGGTGAATTCAAACCCTGCGCCTCTGGGATTGTAGTTGCAGCTCCTTGCCACTAGGCCACCAGAGCTCCCTTTTTTCTTTCTTTTTTTTTCAGGTGGAAGGGGAAAGGGATATGGAGGAGGGGATCCTGGAGCGGGCGGGGGAGCGGGGTGGAAGGCAGACTGCATTAATAGAACAACATTGCAGTGACTTGTTGTTGCTGTTTGTTTTTAAGAGAAGAAAAATAGGAGCCCTACTGATTCAGCATTCAGGCCCTCGGCTGCTAACCAGAAGGTCGGCAGTTCAAACCCACCTGCTCTGACTGGGAATCCACTTGAGGGCAGTGGATTTAGAGGAAGACAAAGGTGCCCTGGTAGCATGATGGTTATAGCATTTGGCTACCAACCAGTGGGTTACCAGTTCAAATTTACTCTGCAGCTCCTAGGGAGAGAAATATAAGCATTTACTTCTATAGCAGTGACAGCTTCAGAGACTAGGGGTGGGGATAGGCCAGCTCTGCTCTGGCCTTTGGGGTCCCTGGGAGTTGGAATTGATTCAGTGACAGTAGGTTTCATTTAATGTAGGGATTACGGGCCCAGCCTATAGGGAGAGGGTTTGTTGGTTATTTTTCCGGTCACGGGGGGTCATTTGTCGTCCCAGCCAGCATGATGTCATTCAGTGGGTAAGATAATAAGGGAAACAGGACAGGTTCCCCAGCCTCCAGGGTTTGGTGCAGACATTGGAAAGGGACATTATGCTTGGAAAGCTAGCAGGTCAGGGAGAGAGAGGAAGACGAGATGGAAAGAGAGAGGAAATCTCAAGGAGAAGGAGCGACTGCAGAGAAGACAAGGATAGCGCAGGATGGGACAAGGGTCAGATCTGTTGCTCATAGGATCCCTGAGTTGTACTCGACTCCCCAGCACCTACCAACAACACAGAGAGGTCGTACTGTTTCATGCCTTGGGAAGGAAGGAAGCAGTGTCACCACATGAATTGTATAGAAATCATTGAACAGAAAACACAGTAAAATATTTTTGGGGAAAAAGGAGCAGTTGTTGGGAACACATCAGCATCTCCGTGTGCTCTGCTTGGCAGCTGACTAACCACCTTTCCTCTTCTTTCTTCCTGCCTCCTCTCCTCCTCCTCTCCCATGCGGCCCCCTGCACACCTCTCCCCTCCCATCTGTCTCCACTCCCCCCTCCCTGTCTGTCCTCTCACCCCCAGAACACGGGGGCTTCCAGCAGTTCTCTCTGCTCGGCTCCTTCTCACCGTCGCCCCCAGGATCTGCAGAGAGGCTCAGCTCTGCTGTTTCCCCGTCAGGGGGTGGGTGTCCCTGTGCGTCCACGGTGAGGTTTGCTGGACCAGGAGGGAGGGCCTGGGGCACGGGGAACTATTCTCTTTATGTTGTTGTTGCTTCCTCTTTTTGTGATTAGAGTGAAAGTTTGCCAAGCCAGTTTTCCATTCAGCCGTTCATACACCTTTTGTTTTATGGCATTGATTATAGCCCTCATTGTGTATCATCATTCTTCCCACTTCCTCCCTGTGATTCTCACTTTCATTACTCCATCTGTCATGTCTGCCTTTGTGAGCCGTTTCCTTGTGCAGATGCTGCTCTTCTGAGCTTTTTCATTGAATATGCTCAGGATTGAGGAATGAGTGCCTCCCTGGTGTTGCTGCTCACCAGATTGGCCTGTCTGTTTTTTGCCTGAAAAATTGAGCCTTGCAGGTCAGTTTTGTTCCACATTGGAAAGGCAATGAAGGGCCATGGTCTGAGCAGTGCCGCCAGTCTTTATTGGACCTGGCAACCTTTTGACTTTTGTTGCACATGTTCACATTTTCAGTCTGCTGTGGTCCTTTTGAGAACAACCAGAAGCAGTAGTTTGGCATCATCTGATCCAAGGTACCATCTAATCTTAAAGTCATGGAAGTTGAAGTTAAGCCCCTTAGTCCTTTGGACCGATTACTTCTGTGCATCTTTGTTGCTCTTCTTGCTTCTTTGTTCTGGGTTGGAAGAGGCCAGGAGTTGGCATCTCAGAGAGTTGCTCGAGAGTTTTTAAGAGGCTGGTTGTTACTTGCTACAATGGGAAGTAGATTATGTTGTCTTTGTGGCTGATGTTATTAGCCTGCTTTTTTCTCTTTTTTAATTTAAATTTAATTTTTTTTTATGCCTTCTCTCTCCTTTTTCTCCTGAAAAGCCTCTCCCCCCACTTCCCCTCCCTCCTTGTCGTCTCTCTTGGCAGTTTCTGTAACTCTGTATTGACTACACCCTGAGATTTCGTAACGAAATCTCGCGATATCAGGCCGTCCCGTTCGCTATTGTGGCTCGAGTGTGCACCAGTGGCGCGGTGGCCCGTCAGCTATTGTGTCTCGAGTGTGCACCAGTGGTGCACTGGCTAAACGTTCCGCTGCGAACTGAAAGGTCAGCGGGCTGACCCGGCCAGTGGCTCCATGGAAGAAAGATCGGGAAAGTCTGTCCCCATAAAGATGTACAGCTTTGAAGACCCTACAGGAAAAGAGTGGCACTGCCTGTGGCGGTCAAGTTGTGTCAACTTGACTAAGATGCTCAGTGATTGGGGCTTACACAGTGATGCAGTTTGACAGCTATATACTGATACAGTTTGGCCCTTACGTGGTCATGGATTCTAGGGGTTAAGTCGTGGTGCAGTCTGACGGTTATGCCATGATGTGATCATCCTCCATTTTTTTCCCAGCCACCATTTCCATCTAACGACTTGGTCTTTGGAACCTAACCACATTGATAAGTAAGGAATGGGTGTATTGTAATGTGCCAGGCCCTGTAAGTGACCCGACTATTGGTCAGCTCCTCTCCCAGATTGAAAACTGACCCCTCACATCTGTCTCTTTCTCTCCGTGTCTTTTTCCTCGTCTCACAGTGGAGGGCATTGTGGGTCTGGAGCAAGTGAGCAGCCTTGGGGATGGCCCACCAGGTGGTCGCCCCCGCCGAGGAATGTTCCGGACGGTGGGCCAGCTCTACAAGGAGTCTCTGAGCCGCCTCATGGCCACGCTCAGCAACACCAACCCGAGCTTCGTCCGCTGCATCGTCCCCAACCACGAGAAGAGGGTGAGTGGTCGGCTGAGGACAGGCAATGAGTGCAGGGCGCCCACTGGGCTTGGCTAGGGTCAGTTCTGGTTGATGGGCTTCTTTCCCAGGCCCCCCTGCTGGGAAAAGGCCTCCATTCATTGCACTTGTTTGTTCACATGTCTCCATCCCACTGGGTCACTTCCCTGAATGTCCTATTTTCAAATGAAGCCCTTCCCAGCCCCATTCCTTGCTGCTCTTTTTTTGCCTCTAAAAAATATATATACATGATTGCTATCCAGCTGATCACAACGCACAGCGACCTTATTTATAAGAGAGTCGAGCTGCCAGTGTGTGTGAATCTCGGATTCCCAGGCCTGTAAATGTCCTCCTTTCCTGCATTTTCAACCTCAATTAGATCTTTTGAGTTGGTAGCCGAGCCTGTAACCTCTGCACCAAGGCTCCCTTAGCTGTTGGCCTCAGGGTGGGTTTTCTATGCAGCCAGATCCCTTCTGACCCATCATGCCCCGTGTGACACAGTAGGCCTGTCCCTTAGGCCGTGACCTTTTACAAGTACCGAGCTCCAAACCTTTTCTCCCACCGACCCTCCGAGTGGCTTCCAAATGGCCAGCTTTTAGCTTAGCAGCTGTCTAATAGGTTTTTGTTTCAAATCTTGGTCTCTGTTCTTCCTGTTTCTTTGATTTTTGCTGGTGGCTTCTTGACAATGCAGATGGTTTGCACTTAACTGCTAACCTTCAAATTGGAGGTTCGAATCCGCACTGGGGAACGAGGGCCTAGCGATACTGGAAAGATACACACCTGTTTATTTACTCACTCACTCTTGCTGGGTTGGGACTGTTTCATAGCAGAACCTCTGGTGATTTTCCAAGATTGTAAGTTACGCAAGAGGAGACGGCCCGCCTTTCTCCCATGGAGCCACTGGTGGGTCCAAACTGGCAGAGAGATGAGTGTTAATAAACGCATCTATCTCCCTGTGAGCCAGGAGCCCAGAGCCAATGAAACCCTATGGTGCAGTACCGCACTGCAGCACACGGGGGCGCCATGGGCTCAAAGCATCTTGCCGATGGTGGTTTGGGGTTTGTTTTCTTGACCCTTTGAAATTCATGGCTGATACAAATAGTTAATGTATCTGTTAGGAGCTGGGCCCCTAACAGAAAAATGGAAAGTTCAAGTTCACTACAAATACCCTGGAAGAAACGCCTGGCAATCTACTTGCACTAAAATGACCATTGAAAACCTTACAAAGCATCATTTTCCTAACACCTGAATGTCAAAGGGTCACCACAGACTCGAAGACAAGTAGTTTTTTGTTGTTATTTTTTGTTTTTTATTTTATTATTTGTGTGTGTGCGTACCATCAAATCGGATCTGACTGGTACAGGAGGAGATTGTCCCTCCTTCCCCAGCAAAGCATCTGGTGGATTCGAACCATGTGCCTCTGGGATTGCAGTGCAGCTTCTTGCCACTAAGCCACCAGAGCTCCCCTTGGGTTTTTAAAATTTTTTAATTTCAATTTTATTTATTATCAGTTTTCCTACTGGACTTTGTTTCTGCCTGGTTTTTGGTATCCTGCTACAAATAAAAAGAATCCCTGGTGGCATGGTGCAGAACTTGTGGTGCTGCTGACTGAAAGGTCGGCGGTTCGGCTCCATCAGCCGCTCTGTGGGGAAAAAATGGACAGCATCCTTCTGTAAGGACTTTACAGCCTTGAGTGCCTGCTAGGAAGAGGCTCCGAGTTGGACTCAACTTGAAGGCAGTGGGCTATTCCATGTCAAAGTAGTGTTTGCATTCTGCCGTAGTTCACTTAGTGGTAAGGAGATGTTCTGTGAATCCAAAGGCACACGGTTCGAATCCACCAGCTTCTCCAAGGGAGAAAGGCAGGCACTCTCCTCCCATGTGATTGGCAGCATATGAAAAGCCACTGAAAGGTACACTATGAGTCGATTCCAACTTGACATTGCATAACAACCGCAGCAGCGTATTGTATTTAAATGTACATGGTGAAAAAGTTTAATTGCTACAGAGTCGGCAAGATGCAGTAACATGCGGTTAGCCTGACTCCAGGGCTGTGCCTGGCACGTAGTAGGTGCTCAGGAAAGAGCAAGCAGAGCTGTAGGAGGTCGCGAAGCGTTGGCACCTGCCCAGCCAAGCAGGTTGTTGAGTGTGTGGCATCCCCTATGGCCGCCGCTGATTCTGCAGGTCCTGACCCTGCGCCCCCCCCCCGCCCCCCTGCAGGCTGGCAAGCTGGAGCCGCGGCTGGTGCTGGACCAGCTGCGTTGTAATGGCGTCTTGGAGGGCATTCGCATCTGCCGCCAGGGCTTCCCCAACCGCATCCTCTTCCAGGAGTTCCGACAGAGGTGAGCAGAGGCGGGCAAAGGGTGGTAAGGACCCCAAGGGACACAGCCAAGGCAGCGCCTGGGGTTGGACTGTCACCCTCAGTACAGTTCACATCCCACCAACATCCATGCTGGGAGGCCTGGGTGAGTTACCTGAACTCTAGCTTTTGTGATGGAATGTATCAGTTTATACAGGCTGCTGTAACAAAACACAGCACTGGTGGATTAAAATTGCCAAAGAGAAAGAAAAAAATTAAAAAAAAAATTGCCAAACAGGAGCTTAATGCCGTGAAAATAGAGTCTCACTTCAGGAGACTGTCCCTGTTGGGAGATGTTCACGGGTCTGTCCCAGCTCTCAGTGACCCCACGCGACCGGGTAAAACTTCCCCAGAGGATTTCGTAGGCTGTAATCGCCATAAAACTCACCCTACTGGTTGGTGTCAGAGTCATGTGTTCCATATTGAGCTGCTATACCCCAGGATCAGTGGTTCATATCACCAGGTGCTCTGTGGGCAAAAGAGAGACAGTTTCTTCCCATGATTCCCAGCTTCAGAAACCAACTGCGGGGTGTATGTGTGTGGGGTCACGCTGAGTGGCACCTGATCCGATGACAGCTGGGTGCTCTTTATAAGAGAATCCTTGGTAGTGCAGTGGTTAATGCATTCGGCTGCTAACCAAAAGGTCGGTGGTTCAAACCCACCAGCAGCTTCGAGGGAGAATGCTGAGGCCTTGGAAACCCAAGGGAGTTGTTTTGCTCCATTCCCGGGATAGGGGGGGTTGTGAGTAGGAATACACAGGTGTCAGGTAGCCTGCTGGGGGGGGGGGTTCTGTTGTTAGTTTCTGCTTTTGTCATGGTGGTTGCTGTCTGTCATTGAGCCTAGTGCCCAGCCAGGGTGGGGTCTCTGACTGCTGTATCTCTCTCGTCCTCCCTCCCCCAGGTATGAGATCCTGACCCCCAACGCCATCCCCAAGGGCTTCATGGATGGGAAGCAGGCTTGTGAGAAGATGGTGCGTGCTGGGGCCGAACCTGGGTGGGCACAGCCCGGGAGGGGGTGAAGGTGCACCCAGGATGTGACACCCTCCTGACTCACCTGCCCTCACTCACCCCGCAGATCCAGGCCCTGGAACTGGACCCCAACCTCTACCGCGTGGGCCAAAGTAAGATCTTCTTCCGGGCCGGGGTCCTGGCCCAGCTGGAGGAGGAGCGGGACCTGAAGGTCACAGACATCATCGTGTCCTTCCAGGCGGCCGCCCGGGGATACCTGGCGCGCAGGTGGGGCTGTGCTCTCTCCTGGAGTCCGATGACCAATCTGATGGAGCCTCCGGTGTCCAGACACCTTGACTCTGAGCATATCCATGGGCCAGGCCTGGACAGTGCTGGACACACTAAAGAGGGGCCAGCCCTGGCCTCTTTGGGGGAGCTGGCCATCCTGGTTTGAATGAAGCCAGTGTGAGGGACGCACGGCCTGGGTAGAGCAGGTGACGACAGGGACAAATGGAGGGACTGAACTCCCACTCTGCTCACCTGTCCCCCTCCTCCATCCCCCCCCATAGAGCCTTCCAGAAGCGGCAGCAGCAGCAGAGCGCCCTGAGGGTGATGCAGCGGAACTGTGCGGCCTACCTGAAGCTCAGGCATTGGCAGTGGTGGCGGCTCTTCACCAAGGTGGGCAGTGGGGGCTGCTGGCTTGAGCAGTGAGGACACGGGGCCTGCGGCCAGGCCTGTTTGGACAAGTGACCTCCTCTATTTGACCACCCAGTTTTTTCTTTTGCATGTGCAAAATGAGACCAATGAGCTTACATTTGGATAACCAGAATTATACAGGTAGCAAGAGCAGAAGATCTGAATCAAAGCAACTTAGATAAAAGGTGTGAGACAGCTTCAGGTCCAGCTGGATCTAGGTCTCAGTTCTCTGATTCTATAAAATAAGATTGTTGTTGTTGTTATGTGCCATCAAATAACCTGCAACTTAAAGCAACCCTGTGTACAGCAGCCCTAAACTCTGCTCTATCCTGTGACAATCTCACTGTCTCTGACACACCTACACTCATTACCCCAGTCACTGAATCAATCCACCTCATCAAGGGCCTTCCTCTCCTGCTCTGTCCCTCTACCCTCCCAAGCATGTTGTTCTTCTCCAAGGATTGGTCCCTCCTTGTAACATGTCCAGAGTATGTCAGAGGGAGCTTCAGAATCCTTGCCTCCAAGGAGCAGCCTGGCTTCACCCTCTACAGGACAAACTTGTTTGTTCTCTTAGCAGTCCATGGTATATTCAATACTCTTCTCCAGCCCCACAGCTCAAAGGCATCAATTCTCTTTCTATCATCCCTAGTCATTGTCTAGCTCTCTGATACAAAGCAAGTAATTGCAGAGACCATGGCCTCTATCAGGCGCACCTTAGTCTCCAGACTGACATAATTTCTCTTCAGTACTTTGGAGAGGTATGACAGCAGACTTTCCCAACGCAATTCTTCTTTTAATTTCCTGGCTGCTGGTGCCAACAGTCTTGATTATAAAGCCAAGCAACCTGAAGGTGTCAGCAATCTCAATCTCTTCACCATCCATCATGATGCTGCCAGTTGGCCTGGTGGTGAGAATCTTTGACTAGTCAGCCTAAATTTTGGTGGCCAGAATTACTTATGGATCAAGGGCCAGAAAACCTGAATCAAAGCAGCAGAAATAAAAGAGATAGTTTCAGGTGCAACTGGATCCAGGATTCTCCTCTGACTGCTTATTTAATCTCACTTATATTTCAAAAGATATATAAATACCCAGCGATAAAGTTCAGGAGACAGGAATAGAAGAATTGAAGAATAGAAGGATTGATGGAAATGAGAATGAAAGGGAGGGAGTGGGAAGAGTGCATTTATGCTCTCTTTAGACCACCCAGCCATATGAACTAAAAAAGACAGCATCGGCCTAGGCAGAAGGAGGAGACAACAGGAAAAGGTGTAAACTTTCATGCAAATCATGATTTTAAAAAAAGCTAAAAAATATGGTAGCCAACAGTTGTTCTCAGAATGCACGCAGCTCTCCAGAGTCCTGCCCCAGTGCTCATTCCTGAAAGTTTTAGGGCCCTGCTACAGGCGAGTGGAGTCTCAGCAGGACCCAAGAGAGCGACACCAGATCAAGTGATTCTTGATCCGAGAACCATGGTGGCCAGTACCGTTCGTGCTTGGTTCGTTGAGGAGATATTAAATGGAGCCCAAGATCGTGCCCATTTTACAGATGTAAAGAATGTATCGTGCTTGCCCAAGGCCAGGAAGCTAGGATGTGGAGCAATAGGATTCTGCCTGGGATTGAGTGTTTGGCCCTCACACCCTGGGAAGTGGATGGATCTTGGAGGGAGGACACCAGGTCTTCAGTGCCTTTTTCTTTCCCCCCAGGTGAAGCCGTTGCTACAGGTGACCAGGCAGGACGAGGTGCTGCAGGCACGTGCACAGGAGCTGCAGAAGGTGCAGGAGCAGCAGCAGCAGAGTGCACGCCAAGTAGGAGAGCTCCAGGACCGCCTGGCGCAGGTGAGGTGCAGGGCTGGGGAGGGGCCTGACCAGACAGTGAGGGGTGGGGCCTGGGCGGAACCAGTGTGAACGGGGGAGGGCCTGGGCGGAGCCAGTTTGAGGGGTGGGGCCAGGGCAGAGCCAGTGTGAAGGGTGGGGGCCTGGGCGGAGCCAGTGGGCGAGCTGGGCGTGGCCTGGGCGGAGCAAATGTGAGGGGTGGGGTGGGGCCTGGGCGGAACCAGTGTGAGAGTTGGGGCGGGGCCTGGTGGAGCCAGTGTGGG